ATTTAATTAATTATTTAATTATAAAGCTACTTTATAATAATTTATTAATTTATAAATAAAATTATAAAATTTATTAACTTTAATTAACCACTTACATTTTTATAAAATAATTAACCATATAAACGTAACTTTTATTAAAATAATAATATAATAAATAATATAATACTTTTTAAAAATATTTTCACTTTTAAATACTGCTTTTTACATGTAAACCTTGTTTTTTTAACAATAATTAATATAATATTATTATAATAATCATATAAATAATAAAAAATAAATAATATTAAATAAATTTATAAAAAAAGATTAAATTATTTTTATAATTAAATTAAATATTAATAAAACGTTAAAAATATTTATTAATATTAATTATTTTATTATAAAGTTATAAAATTAAGTTAAAAAAATTAAAACATAATTAAAAACGTTATTAAAATATTAAAATTTAATAAAAATTTTTATTTTTTAACTTTTTATTATAATGATTTTACATTTAATAAATATAATAAAATAAATATTAAATTTATTAAAAAATAATTATAAAAATCGTTATAAAAATCGTTTATTTATTAAAAAAAATTGTTAATAAAAAATATTTATAAATAATCCGAAATTTATTTTAAAATATATTTTAAAAAACCGCGTAAAAACATTTTAATTATATTATAAAAAAGTTAAAATTTTACGGTAACGTTTTTTAATTTAATATAAACATTTTTAATAATATTTATTAAATAATTATTTTATTTTTAAATAATTTTACGGTATTATTAAATCGTATAAACTTTATTTATTTATTTTTCGGTTTTTATTTTTTATAAATATTTTTTTAAATTTTATTACGTATTTTTAATAATATTTTAAAAATATTAATAAATAATTATATAACATATATTATTGTTAAAATAACAAGGTTTTATATGTATTACGTAATAAAAAAAAGTAATTAAATTATATTGTTTAATTGGTTTAAGTTAATTAAATAAAGTAAAAAATTTATTAAATAAAAAAAATATTTATTTACATGTGTATAAACTTTACGTAAACGGTGTGTGTTAACACAACTTTAATCACGTGGCATAACACATGACTGGTATTTTAACAATTATAATATTTACCAAATAAATATTTAAATTATTAATTTAACTTTTAATAATTAATTTTATAAATTAATAATAATAAATTAATATATTAATATATAATTTTTAATTATTAAAATAACGTTAACATTTTATTAATATAATTATTATACGTTAAATAAAAAATAAAATAAATTTCCGAAAATTATTTATTATTTATTTTAAAATAATAAAAATATAACTTTTTATTTATAATATTAAATTATTAATTAATTATAATATAATAACACCGTTAATATAAAATTACTCGTTTTATAAATACGTTAATTTAACATTTAATAAATATTATAAATATATAAAAAAAAAGTTAAATTTATATTGCGTAAAACTTAAGTTTAAACTTTTATTTTAAAAAACGTAATTACATGTTATTTTAATAAACTTAAATTAAAATTCGTTAAAATCGGGTTTACGCCCGATTACGTTATAAACGCCATAAAACGTTTGGTTTATATTATTATATTTATAAATTTATAAACTTAAAAAAATAATATAAAACATAAGTTTTAACAAATTTTAATTTAAAATATATTTAACGTGTTTAATTATAATTATAAATAATTTTTTTAAAATTTAACATTATATTTATAATAATTTAATATTTAATAATAACGTATAAAATAACTTTTATTTTTATAATTTAAAGTTAATATTTTACTTTTTTTACCTTTTTATTTTTTTTTATATATTTATACGGCATTATGTTATAATATCGTAAGTTTTAACGTTTAAAAATACGTAATAATATTAAAAATGTTATATATATATTTATAATTACGTATAAAATAATTTTTTTTAATTTAAAGTTAATAATTTAATTATTTAAACTTTTTTGTTATTTTACATGTTTATACGGCATTACGTTATAATGTTATAAATTTTAACGTAATATATTTTTAAAAAAATGTTTTAACCGGTATTATAACCGGTATTACAATTAATTATCATTTTAAAACGTTTAAAACGTTTAAAACGCATATATTTAAACGTTTAAAAAATCGAGTAAACGTATATATTTATTAATAATAAAATTAATAAATGTTTTAAATTAATTAAAACTTATTTTAAACACATTAATATAATTATTATTTTTAATATTAAATGATTATTATGGTAAAAATTACCCGAGTTATTTTAAATTAAAAATTTAAAATTGTTTTTAAAATTATACCGGAATTATAATTGGTTAAAAAATTATGTGGTTAAAAAAATATAACCGTATAAATAATCTCGAATTTATGGTTTAAATTCATTAAAATAAATTACATGGTAATATAAAAAAAAAGTTATTAATATTAAAATATCGGTTATATATTACGTTACGTGATTAAAATTATATTAACATATACCGTTTACGTAAAATTTATATATATATAAATAATTTTTATTTTATTTAATAAATCTTTTACTTTATTTAATTAATTTAAACTAATTAAATAACATAATTTAATTGTTTTTTTTATTATATAATATATATAAAATTTTAATATTTTAATATATATATATATATAATAAATTTATATAATTTAAAAATTATTTATTTATATATATATAAATTATATATAAATAATATATATAAATATATAATTAATGTTTTAACAAATATTAATTATATTAATAATTTTTATAATATAATTTTATTATAATAAAAACATTATAAATGGTACTTTGTTTATTCATGTCTTTGATTTTTACAAACATACCTGTTTAATCAATCTTGCTAAACATTTTCAGCTGTGTTATCGTAGCCTTAAACACATTCCAAAACTTTCCATAACCTTTCGAAATTACAAGAAGTCAGACTCATGCTACGCAATCAGCTTGTTAAGGTTAACATCCGTATTTACTAGCGTTTTCCGTTTCTCAGTGATAGATCCCCTATTCGACTCGTTCGAGGAATATTTATCCACTGCCTCTTCCTATAGTCGCTTTAGCTGAGAGTCCTTATCCTCATTCATTGCCATCTTTTATTATTCAATTCTGACGGTCAACTTCTGTTATGCTGTCTCGTATGTAAAGTCAAGGAACCTTGCGCTCAACAGCACAGAATTAGAACGCACTGTGTTATATAAAGGAAGTAAGGGTATAACAGTCGCAAGAGGCGAGAGGTAATAATCACTCGTTGGATCCCAATTTCCCCGGAAGGCCGATCACTTGGGCTGAGAGCCTCATTGCCGCGTAGGGGGGGGGGGGTCTGCATTACGTGCTCACCATACCACTAATTACAAAGCCTACCTGCCTTGTGATACCTATACTAGCGAATAGCATACGAGCGTCGGGGCATGAAAAACAGAGAGACTGTGGTTAGGTGTTATTGAAGACCCAACTATAAGCTAGCAACAAGAAGGCATCATTGCTAGAGGCGTAGTGGTGAGAAATTAAATATTTAAGTAGCTCATTACTAAGTCAAGATATTTAAAATGTTATTTAAATAACGCGTAAACCAGGTTTACAGGAGCCTCTTTCAATAATTGTGTCCATACTAGGTGTCTATCAGCTTTGGCCACAGCTTGTACCACTTGGCAGAAGTGAGAATGAGACGCGGACCTTTTATTAAAAACCGATGTACTTAAGCCTCAATCCTCGCCCTTGTCTTTAAGTTAAACATTATAATAAGATTATGTGGGATTATAATGCGCTGGCTTCAAACTCTTTGCAATAGCTGATTATTTTACAAGTCTAAGGTTTGGTTGGACGTGGGGATTATTTTGTTGAGTGGGATTAACCAGTCGGACATTTTACATACCTTGGAGACCGATTTATCCTATCTCTAAATATTGAGTATACCAAGTTAAGTTCCCTGGTCCGGGTATACAATTACAATTACTGGACTTGAAGTAGTTTTTAATTCATGCTTACAGGTTTTCTATAGTAGGTCCGACTCTACTCCCTTTAAGTCTGTTTAGCCTCGATGTAAGTTTAGTTAGTTCGCTCAACCAAGCTAAGCCACCTCGTAGGATGTAACTAAAAAGTTTACCCAACTAAACTAAACGCTAATTTTCGCAACATTAGATGAATTCACGAACAACGTTCTACGGCCATATTCGCTTGATAGGTTGAGAGGTAAGCGCTGTTTATAATGCGTACTGGGTAATTTATCTACTCCACTAAGAATGCTACCTGCCATCTTCGTCGATCTTTTCCTCTGTTAGCGCTTATCGGCATTGCCGCGTAAATGACTTGCAGTAGATCGCGGATCAGTCTAGCCGTTGAGATTGCAGTTGAAGATCGTTCCTTTGGATTTAAATAACGGCAATGCGTATATAGACTCTTAGAAAGGGAGTGTCACGTGTGCGTTAAGACATGTAAATTCTCTAGGTGCACCCTACATGCAGGTTAAACCATGATTCAAATTTAAATTCCTGGTTTCGATATTGATGCAAGGGGTTGTGACCCTCCCGTATTCATGCTGTCACACACTCGACAGCAGAAGCTACGCTTCGAGCCGAGCCCTCTCACTACGACTTGCCCCTTATTCCTCTATACTGTGGCGTTTATAAGTCACTCGGTATATATGACGGCTGACGAATATTTAAAATTCATGTCAGGTACACGGAGTAGATCCTACCAATCATATGTTCCTGCAGGACAACCCAGACCCGATAACTCAAATGCCACCAGATAAGTGCCTATGTACTTATATCTCCTAGGGCGGACAGGGGGGGGACAGACCGCGGCGGGTGGCTTTTTCGTATTCGTCCTGTCAACAGACTACGAACACTATTTAAGCTTGGCAATAGACTCGCATGGCACAAATCTTGAATAGGGGACGGACATTGCGTGCGGCGCTTAAGTGTTGCATCGGATCGAGGGAAAGCCACCGAGCCCACAGCGGCATTGGGAAAATATGACTGGGCTGCCAAACTTACATCGCGTTTAAACTTCTCATATAAACGATGCGCATGTGGACTATTTATATATAAAGCACCTGCGTTTGGCTTCAAACGAGGTAATCCATCTGCTATTCTACTGGCTATACGGCAGTTTCTCCAAATATTTACGAAGAACTCTTTACGAATACCACGCTGTGAAGCATCTTTGGGTTATCAAGGATTTGTTCGAGCTTAGTATACCACCACTCTACAAGTACATAGATATGTTGCCATTACTACCATTGGCGGCATGCTGCCTTTCATTATCCCCCCTAGCTTCTGGGGCAGTAATTAGGCGGGAATTGATACCCTCAGACGCGACTAAGGTAGCGGTAGATGCTATGATGGCGTTATACGATGAGAAAACAGGCCTTTGGGATCCTAACAACCCAGGATCGTCTTGGTGGCAGAGCGGCGTCGCTCTTTGGGCTCTCACAGAATATATGGTCAAGTCGGGATCTCACGAATACCTCCCCCAAGCACTAAACACAGTCAAAATCCAGCGGGCACCTCTCAGCTGGTGGCCGGATGGAGATGGCGACTTCCGCGCTGACAGTACTGATGATACGGCCTGGTGGGCGCTCGCAATGACTAGCCTATACGAGCTCACAGATGATGAAGAATACCTACTGATTGCTCAGGAAGATGAGGCCTACATGTACAAGTACTGGAACACGACAACATGTTCGGGTGGACTTATTTGGAGTATTCCAAGCCGGACTTATCATAATGCCATTAGCAATGAGCTTTACCTAGAGCTTACGGCCAAGCTGCACAACCTCGTCCCAGGAGACATGACGTACCTAAACCACAGTCTACAAGAGTGGGAATGGTTCAAGAACAGCGGCATGATCAACAGCGAAAACCTTGTTAACGACGGGCTAACGGACGACGCCGCCTGCGTCAACAACGGAAGGACAACGTGGACATATAACCAAGGTGTGATCCTAGGCGGCCTTGTCGAGCTATACAAAGCCACAGGGGATAGTTCGTATCTCGATGAAGCGCAGCAGATAGCAGACGCCGCGGTCAGCAGCACGCTACTGGTTAAGGACGGAACCCTGACGGAACCCTGCAGCGACGAAAAAGCATGCGAGCCGAATGGCACCTCGTTCAAGGGTATCTTCATCCGGGAGTTGGCTAAGCTTAACGCTGTGCTGGATGACCGTCCCTATAGCTCTTTCATCACGCAAAACGCTGTCACTGCGTATGAGAACGCACGGAACGGGTCTAACTTTTATGGTTTCCAGTGGCAGGGGCCGTATGATAATGTCACGATCGGTACTCAGGAGGCCGCGGTTCATCTTTTAGTCGCGGCATATTTATAATAATCCTGAAATGCTTGGGGTTTTGTTCAATGAGGTGGAGAGTATGATGGCGGTTCTGTCCGAGTGCATTAGGATGCGATACATTGAGGAAATAAGGCATAGGATTTATAATAGAGCAGATGCATAAAGCAAAGTTTGTAAATATTGTTATTCGCAGATTGTGGTTGGCCTGGTCATAGGGAGTCTGGGGCGAGCGGTGACAATGGTGTCTGGTAACTGGTTTCCGCAGTGTTTGCTTATTGAGGTTATTTGGTGCAAAGCTATAAATTCAGATACGAAGTAAGATACCAATGATCGGAATATTCCGGCGGAGAATTAGCTTAGGTCTTAATAAAAGTTTACTCTCACCTCTCTTCCCAGTCTAGCACCTGGCTATATGAACAGGCAATTAACTAAGTAAGTGCCTTTTGTTTGGTTGCGCATTCATCGACTGCTTTAGGGTCTGCTTTGGGCACTTATGCTAGATAAATATGTTTGTTCAGCCTTACCTGAGCAACTGAGCCACCCCTATTTGGACTATACTTAAACTATATCGACCTTAGATATCCATCTTAATTACCAATAATAACAATGGTGTTATTCGCATTCAATAGCATCGCACTCCGAAAGCTACAACTTATTCATTGGATAAAACTTTGACAGTAGCAACGACGCAGCAAACCCAAGCTGCCAAGTCGACGGTAAGGCTTCGCCATATATGGACACGAATCCAGCTGTCGAGCTCGGAAATATTCTTCTCCTTTGCATCTCCCTGGATAGCTCGAATACTAGGAAGAATAAACGGAACCCACAACTGGTGCCCTACGGCAAACGAGATACCTGTAGCAAAACTTCATTACTACCGATTTATCTATCAGGTTTAGTTGGGTCGAAATACCTGCAACGTACCAGGGGTATGCACCCCGGTCCGCTAAGATCGTTCCAGGAGAACGTCGCAAGATTGCACCACACGAAATGATGGTAATAGAAAGGAGGACTATAACTCGAGGAGCGCCACGATTAAAAAAATGTCGTGAAGTATGATGGGAGCAGCCTGTTGCTTAGTGTATGTATATCTGGCTTGCAGAATAGCGTCAGGAACTCGTATTGGTCCCAGGCAAACCACAGGGAGCAGGTTGACGAGATGACTGGGTCAAGACTCAATGAGACAGACATGGCGGAATGCATGTAGTGATTTGTGTCCCTGATCAGGTTGCGGTATTTAAATAGATATGGTGTCAATATAATCTCTGTTATTGGGGTATAATGAGTTAAGTGATAACTTTTTTTAAGAGTTCTAGGTTTTAGATACGTGTACTTCTGAATAGTATTATTATTGCCCGCTACGGCTTGCTAAAGCCAAGACTCCATCCTGGGTATTGTCCCATCTATATGTTGTCTGGGGAATCATATCTTTTTGGGATTTCCAATTTCGCTTAATTATCCGATCAAGCTTCAAAATATAAACATGTAGCATCTCTTCACAATAACAACTGCTTCAGAGAACCATCGCTGCTCTTTTAGACATCTTAGACCCGATATTAGACTTATATTCATTGCCTTGCGCTATCAAGCTTCAATTGATCAGCACGCTCTAGTATCGTTACCATTTCGTGATGTTGTGCAGACCGAGCGATATCCAATGCGGTCTGTCCTGACTTATTCCTTATTGTCAAATCAGCACCGTGTTTTAGTAGGAGTTCAGCACTTTCTCTAGAGTCCCAATCCGCGCACAGAAACAGAGCAGTTGGGTAATCGTCGCAGTAGAAATGGTTGACATCAGCTCCGTGTGAAAGCATATAGTCTGCCAGTTTCGTATTTGAACACGCATTCGCCCAGAGAAAGGGGTCTCTTCCGTTGTAACCTTTGATATGCATGTCGGCGCCGCTGTCTATTAAAACCTTGGCACATTCGAAATACTCCTCGTCGCCCAAGCCACTTAGTACTACACCGCCTTGAAACATGTTAGTGATCTAGGCTTCATAGGGGAAGCACATCCTCATTACTTACCGTCGCCTGGGTAGGCATAATTAATATTAGCTCCGCTTTCCAGCAGAATACGGGTCATCTCAACGTCTCTTAGTACCCTCGCGGCAATTTCTAACGGGACATATCCATTGTTGAAAAAGGCTGCCATTTTCTGGTGAGAGCGAATGTTTTCATCAAGCCTATCCTCCGTCTCTGGTGGTAGATAATCATCCTTATTAGCACCATGGGCTAATAATAACCGAACAGCTTCCTTTTGCTGTTGCATCATCGCTTGATATAATGGAGGAAGGCCTGATACATATTAGTTTATTTCAAACTCGGTTGAAATTTCATGTAGTAATCACCACTCACCATATTTGTCTCTGATATTTGGGTCGAACCCCGCAGAAAGAAGGATTACTAGACTCTGGAGATCATTGGTTTCGAGAGCTTGATGGACAAGGTATGGACCAGAGGCCGACTTGTTGAATTTTGGCGCCAGGGTTGTAAGTAGTGGTCTAATGCCGGGTATCTCTTCTATCCTTTGGGTCAAGGGGAAAATCATGTCAATGGATCCCGTAAGAGAGCACCCCCTTTGCACTAGGATGTTTGCAACGGTCAATGCTTCGGATGAGAGAGCAACGTTTAGAGGAGAACGTAACTGATTGTCACGCGCGTTGATATCAGCACCATGGTCGAGCAGGAGTTGGGCAATCTCCGCATCATTATATATGGCGCAGAAATGAAGCACTGTTTGGCCATCTTGCGTTCTCTCAGCCGTGGAATAACCGCTTGAAATGAGACGGACAACCCCATCGCTATTCCTGGCTCTAACTGCTTCAAGCAAAGTGATTGGCTCTGCTGAGAACGGACTTAGGAGTACTTCACTAGATGTCTGCGAATTGGATTGATAATCTAGCGGGGACGTAGGTTCCGAGGGTTCTAGTAATTGATCGAAGTACCTGTTCAAAGGAAAGGAAGCGTCTGTTGATTGAGATATGGATTGACGCCGTCCTCCAAAGGCCGAAACGCTCGCGACATCATCTTCCATCCTCTTTCGGACTCTCTTTCCGCTGTCTCGGCTACGAAGCTCAATAGAAAGCTTCTCGTAAACCTTGTTGACATCGTTCTTGATCTCATCCTGGCCTTTTCCCTCGAGGAATCTGTGCTTGACTTAGTATGGCTTGGACAATGGGGTAGTCATGATAAGAATCGAGGCTCACGAACCCATTTATTACTGATATTGTGATGTTCAAACTTGTTTTACCCTCCTGAAGTCTCTCCCTCAACGCTTTGATTTCACCTTTCCGCATCACCCAACCAACCATCCTTATCGGACTTCTTCTACCAGACCCCTTTAGAGGCGCTATAAGTATATGGATTGATTGCATGCTGTCTCGACATAGGTTAATACACTCCGTTAAACTACTCTCTAGCGCAAAATCCTCCGATTTCAAATCACATTTAGCGCAGATATCTTGGAGAGACCCAAGCACCGTGGAAAGGTTCTGCACGTCGCGGCGGATATGGAGTATCTCCTGTGGTGCATCGGTCATCTCCTGAATAAGCGAAACAAGGGCTCGTGATGTAGATACAGCAAGCCCAGCGACGCCTATGACGCTGGCAACCATTGACAGCGGATCGGCCATATTGATTGTTGGAGTTATATATAAGATGGCTCAGTATCGTAATTTAAAGGGGATAGTTATGAGTTAATATGAAATTCCTTTGGTTTTATTCCAACAGACTCATAACAAATCAGCATGAAAGTGGACTCATCGAACGTTGAAGCATTACTTGGGTCGCAGGGCTTAGAAGGATTGCGGCCGCGCCACTCTCCTGCGGCATTAGGTTGCCTCATTCGCATGGTTACATTATGCTATTTATATCATTACTGAATGCGACTGAAAAAAAATATACCTAGCTTGCTATACTAGGGTCAGCGCATAAAATATACACATATTTATATTTAATGAATATTAACCATGCATATATAGGTATCACAACAGATAATGTTTAATATTCTAATTAGCCACTATACAGCTTTTTAGAGCTATTCTATACCAGGTGATAATAAAGGGTGAGTATCGTCAAGGTGAATGTAAAATTCCCTCTCTGTAGTGATCCTTCAGTGTTCTAGGTCACCGACGCCGAACCCTAATACATAAGCATCTTGAATAACCCGGGCCCGTCGATTCACGCCGACGGGGACGTATCGGGCAAAAAGATTTCGTCCTCCAATATGCCCACCCTGTCTATATGGTAGAATACCTAACCACCATCCTAAACGGAATCGGAGTCTTCCCAGGCGTCTACGTGTCGCAGTGGCGAAGCCATGCGCCAGAGTTATTGATACGCCGATAAAGAATACTCGAAATAAGAGGCCAGGCATGATGGTCACTACCGGGGTGGTGAGTGAGATACGGATGGGGGGTGAGTCGATGCGTTTGTTGGTACAAATATGAAGAATTGTTGTTTGGTATGTTAGGGAGGGTTTACTTATAGGAATAGGAGGGAGGCTCGAATAAGCTGCTTTTTAATTGAAGTATGATTTATGAGATTGGAGACGTATTTTCGTGAAAGCTGGCTGGATCTTATATACTTATACCTTAGTTGTTAATGCCTTTAAAGAAGGTTTACACTTCGAATCTTAATATGGAGTAGCTTTTGTATGAACTATTTAGTTTTCCAATACTGGCTGTGCGTAATACTTGAAAGTTTAATGATATATAGTCATTAGCTTAAGCTTGAAAGCCAAACTGCGCATGGATAATAGGCGTGAGTGTTTAAGTTTTATAGAATAGCTTTGCTAAAACATTTTAACAATCTTAAAAGAGATAGATTAACAGACCTGCCATAATCACAACGAAGTCATAGTATTTTATATCACAAGGAGCAAAAAGGGAGGAATGAATAACAATTGCTTAACTCCCGATATTTATACTACTAGAAATAAGCAAGGAATAAGTCAATTTAAACCTCACTTTACTTTCTTCCCGAAGGTGATATAGTCACTTGAAAGATCTAAGCTACATAAATCTTCGCGCACTGGTAGAGAATTTAACTAAAGTGGGACAATGTCCTGTTACCTAGTACTGCCCCACGGTAACATTACGTCATGAATAGTCTTTCTATATAAGAGTAAAAAATACGCAAATTTTTAATCCGAATTGGTGTAGTGGCTAACATTTGACGCTCTCAAAGATTAAAACAATCACGGAACCGTCAAGCCCGGGGTTCGATTCCCCGATTCGGAGTTTCTTTTTCGTGTTTCGGTATACTTTTACTTTTTTAAAGTTGGCTCGGTAAATGGATATTTTCCTCGTATCCTACGTCTTTTAACCGTCTAGTCTTTAATAATGCATCCCATCCCCTTAAAATGCGGTGCTATAATCAGGTAATCCTAAAGGTGCGGATTGATCCGTCGCCCTTGCCCTTATTACTTTCCGATTGTTCTTTTGGCCTATCTTCCATCTTATTTTTCACGGATGGCCCTCCGATGACTATGCTTACAATAGTCCGGAGGTCTTTCGCCCCATGAAAGTCTCTCTATCCTAGCTTTCCTCGTACGCTTTTGGTTTCGGGTGATAGTCTTGCGATTCGAAATTGTCTGTTGACTTTTGGGTACCTTCTTACGATTTGAATCCCCATGTGATCGGGTATTAGCACCGAACTTAGCTCCTCGTGCCTCTTGTTACGAACTAAGCCTGCGGTTTGAATAAGAACCTAGGTATTAAAGGAATGGCCCGTGAGGGGCTTGGCACACGGATATGGGATCGTAGAGAATCTAGGACGTGTGAGGTCACGTGACACCCCTGAATCCGAACGTGCCTCCTGGCTCCTCAGCACTAGTACTGACGATATAGTCTATATAAGGAGGCATTTCTATCTAGATAGTCTCAGAATATCGTTAGTAGTTAATCTAAGTATCACCTGGATCAACAAGACCCCTTGAACCTCGATATTGACGTTGTTACCTTCAAACTAAGCCTAGATGGTTACACCTCTCGGGCACTATACATTAATTAAGGGGACGGCATACGCCTTATGCTTTGATCTACGATATAGAAATGAATTGAATCGAAACAGAGTAGAGCTGTTATATGAACTGTAGACAATTAGGACTCTAGGTGAAGTAGTGGATGAATATTACCTCCCATATGTAGGGTTTAGTAATGTCATGGCGTTCCTGACTACCTAAAAAGTTACTGGTATAAGGCATATAAAAGAAATTTAAAGCATCGCCTTACAACCCAAACTAGTGTAATGGTAATACGGCGACTGACGCTTGAGTGAATCTTAAGCCCGCTTACGGGACCGCAGCTCCAGGATCAAATCCCGGGTTTGGGACAAGTTCACCTGAATTTATCAGAAATTTTCATTCAACTACTACTGTTCTTTACTACTATTATCAGCTAGTAACCCTAGCTATCATTGCCTCATTCCTTCCTCTTCCGTTGGGCTTGATATTTTTTATTTATGTGCCCTACGTCTATCCTATGTGATAACGTATAGCTTATTCTTTTTTGGTCCTCCCTTTGCGACTGTCCTTCCTCCTATTATATTCCCTCATCCGTCCATGTATCTGGTTTTATCAATCATCTGATTGAATATTCCTTACTCGGGAATTATTTCAGTTCTTATTCGTTACTAACGAGGAAATATTCATGAGTTGTCACGATATTATTGCGCGAAGGACTAAGCTGAAAAGAGAATTTGTTTAACGTAACCACAGGACGGGAAATTGCATATAGTTTTAGTGAAGGTATACAGGTCTAATAAACAAGAAATCCTGGAAACGAGAGATGCGCCTCACATTTTAGGCGAAGGTTAAGGTGTGTGTATCTAAATTTGGCGACTACCTAGTTAAAGAGCGACATGTAGCCTTTACTAGACTATTATAATAAAGAGTGACCCCCCCTTTCTTGATGATCCCATCCGAACATACTCACTAAGTTAATTATCACTACAAAGTGGCTACTGAACTGGGCGTATATCCTGTCGAGTAGTTGGTCAGGCTCCGGGGCTTTAATTATCAGGACCCCTTGGAGCCCCAATCCGCTTCGAGAATTTGTCATCAAATATATGCATGAACTCAGCAATTCCCAGCTCATCCCAATAAGCGAGAACGTGATGCTGACTGGAATGTTCTCCCACTTGGTCCCAGCTTTCGATAGGGTCTATAGGCGGTGGACAACCAACGAAGCTCTGTCCTGGGAGGGGAGTATACGGCACGTGTGACTTTGTGGCTAGAAATTGAGCCACAGACACCAATTGTTCTGCTTTAGGCTTAAAGTCATCGCTACATTGGAGAATCTTTAGAATATTATTGAGATTTCTGTCGTGGTCAGGATTGGTGGACCAAGCCTGGGGCACAATGTCGTAAATGTTATAGAAGTCTGTGTTGTAGACCTTGTAGTCTTTGCTTGATAGAGGGTCCTTGGCGAAGACTTCGGAATATTTCTTGGCGAAAACGTCGTTTCCGGGAGAAACTCCGGCGGACGGCAAAACCTTGACCGTATTTCTGCAGCCAATCTTAGACTGAGCCAATCCCAATGCAGAAGTCGGAGCAAGGGCTCCTCCCAGACTGTGACCTGTGAAGACGATAGTGTAATCTGAATTAAGCTGCTGCAAGTACTCATCGACACGCAGACCGCTATTGACTGCTGTACTAGGATTGCTCAACACATTCCACGTGCCATCGCAGGTTCCCTTTGCACAATAGGATCGAGAAGGATCTTTCTGCGAGTGATCCTCTTTGGGTTTAGGAATGCCTTGAGAAGACCATGATTCAACCCAGTCCTCAAAGTCCACGACTGCACCAACATTGAAATCTTGCCACAGGTCTGGAATTGATTTTGCAGTTGTACCTGCAATGGCAACAGCACAGACCTTCTGGGTGTGATCAATGGCGGCAAACCAGACATTGTCCGGACTGCCTTTCGACTCATCAGGCTTCTCTTTGAAGACTCTTGGCCCCCAGGAAATTGACCAAGCGCCTGTCAAACGTGGAAGGATATCGTCAAGAGTTTTCTTTAGTGCAGCTTGGAGGTTTGTCTCCGTGTCTTCCTTGTTCGAGACGACGCCGGTGGCCATGGAAAGGCAGTAGATTTGTTGGAACAAGTTGTAGTCGAACTCAGCCATTTTGAACTGACTGTAATAAGATCTTGCTAGAGGGCGTTAAAGATTATAATATATCGATGTATCAGATGATTGAAGAACGAATTGCTTTGTAGAGGGGTCTGATCTGAGCGAATATACGAGACTTAAATAATGCTTTTACTCTACGAGGACGTGTCGGAACTTGCCTTCTCATCTTAGCTATTCTTTACAAAAGCCTAGGTTTCGGCGAGCTCGGGTATGATCGCAGACGCAGACTTAATGACTAGGTATGCATTGCCAGCCAATCTCGACAGTCTATTGTTCCGTATAATCCACCCCTATAGAAGCCACAATGTCTCATCGGAGGCAATATAGTAAAAGATTTACATGAAATCATGGAATGATAGCTGATGATACGTAAGTATTCTATTCATGTGACATCACATAGGTCAATACAATGCAGTAAGGAGGAGCTGAAACGCGAGTGTCCCGTGTCTTGTAAGACTTACTTTTTAACCGGTGAACAATATCTGCCTCAGAGGAAACAATGAATGGATGAGGGGTTATTCTATCGCTGCCAAATGCGTCTCCTTGGGATAGTTCAACTAAGCTGAGAAGTTGTTATGTCTGTCGGGAGCCTAATGGGTTGTGGCATGTAATTCTGATAGAAGGCGGCTGTCAGCATCAGTCGTGTAAGCCATCAAATTCCATAAAGGACATGAGCCATTGGTAAGATTCCAAATAATATAGTATTTCCTACGACATGCTGTAGCTCTGGCCCATAATTTATTCGGCGGTGCTGTGAAACCGGAAATTCTCGTTGAAGCTGGGATACGAATATCGTAGGTAGGCATAGGCGGTGACCATTAGCGGCGACTTCGTGTTTCCTTTCGCCGGTTGTGACAAGACAATTGTCTTGACCTTATGTTTCTTTTTCGCGCCCCCTCGTTCTAGCTCATCTAAAACCTCTAGGTACTTAGTTACTAGTTGAACCTCCTACTCGGGGGCTTATGATATATATAGAATAGGATCTAGGACCCGAGGCACAACTCGTCTGGCTATGATCTCATTCTAGCGGACGAACTATTCTCCTTTCCTCTATCAATTCGCTTCACGTAGCTGCTGGTCTCTCTTGTAAATATATCACCGTCGATATATTATTTGGCAGTTTACAACCATCCACTAAGATGTAGATAATTTTGCATAATTTTACTTGTATCACTGTGATATTTCAATTTCGAATGCCGGCAGTTTCGATTTTATGCGATTCGAGCACGTGCGATGTAGTTGGGTATGCTAACAAAGGCTCATTGTCTAGTGACACCCAGTTGATCTTCCTGCTAAGGAGAGATATTAAAAATTACAACAATATTTTTCGATGCCTTATAAAAGGTTGAGTAAGAAGCCTAACGCCGGCGCTATGTGACCAACATTCACGAAATCATTGTTAGAATCCAACTATTTTCACTTGGTCATGCTTGGGCACGTCCACCACTTCCTGTCTTAACACCCTCTAGAACAACGGCCCAAGTACCTGCTTCGCCTCCGAATACAGCATGACCGGAAGCAATCCGGCGCATGAGAAGCGTATCCTTCGCCACAGCCAGCCGCTTTCCCTCACCGCTCTCTAAGCTTTCCCTGAACCACTGCTCTTCCTGGGCATCAAACGGTAAGCTAGTTAAATCGAGCGCCCTCTCGGCTGACTCGTCGTCATGAGCAGACTCCAACACGGATAAGACAAGGCATTGGAAAAGTTGCCGACGCATGGATTCGGCATGTGATCGTGAAAACTGGAAGGCATCAATAACGCTCGATCGCGCGAGGGCATTGAATAGTAGTTCTAAGGCCGAAGATGATTGGATAATAGGTTGAACTGTATGGTAATAGGCGAGAGGTAGACTATAATCGCCGTTCTTGGCGTTGCGGACAAGGACGGTGATGATATCGTCGACGAAATCAGGTTGGAGCGATGGATGGGTAAGATACTGTAATGCGAGATCAAATTGTAGTGCGTCCATGTGCCATAATCCCTTCATGAAGATCCTGTAATTTTTAGGCATGCTAGTACGCTGAGCGTGGGTTTCAGCCCGGTTAGACCCATTTCGATCGTCAACGTCTAGTAGTAGATAGAATACTACTGAGAGCTTGTGGTGAATGGTAGCGTTCTTGGTCTCGCATATCTGACTGTACAATTGTCGAAGAGCGTCGCCGTTTTTGGGAGGGTAGTGGCTAGTAGCTATGCGTAGAAATCAAGATTAGCAACTAACCAGAATATGGGATGCCAGGTAAGACAAATATACACCTTTTGATAAGTTCAGAGCTTTCATTACTCGATCAATAAACAGGGAACCCTCAAGACTTCGTCGAGAAGCTTCAAGGTGTTGGATAACATTGCGGTCATAAGGAAAAGGATCCAGAGAACCGAAAATGCGGTCGAACTTGGAGGGATCGAGCATTTTTGATAATTGGAAATTCTCGAAGAATAACAAGTACCTAATCTTAGAATATAATCTTCTTGTACATGTAATTATTCGATATCGTGATAACTTGAGCTGTAAAAGGGAACCTTGGAAGACTGTAAAATGCAGATGCGCCGGCAATTCATCGGTTAAGATGCTAAGGAACAACCGCGTTTGGATAGCTGTTTAGCTGTTGGAAGAAAGCTAACGACGCGCTACTGATTCAGATTGATATCGGCTTAGTAATAACTCTAATTCCGGTGATTATACGGATTACATTAGGTACCTCTAGCGATTGTGGTGGGGGTTTGTGGGGATAAACCTGCAAGTTGTTTTTGTTTACTTTCTACCCGAGACACGGGCACCTAATTTATTCTGCCCGCTATCAATTATCAATTAAGCAACCAAACGTGCTACGGCGACAACACTACCGACAACTACGACAACTGGCCGACAAATCTATCCTACCTCAATTATTTGTGGCCCAAGTATAACCGACTTCGTTCCCCTGGAGTAACTCGATTTGATCAACAATGTCCACCAGACCGACTCGTCGTGCCGCAGCGGCTCGGCGCACAGCCATTATTGAATCGGAAGAGGAAGACGAAGAGGTCGCGAATACTACTAGAAAAATAAAAGAAGAAGAAAGCGAGGAAGAATTCGCTCCTGAGACATCAACCGCTAGGACTTCGCGCCGTCAAACGCAGAGCAGAAGGAAGTCTACGGTGCCTGCGACACCGCGCGGAGGCCGTCCAAGGAAGAGTACCGCCAGCGTCGCCTTAGAGCCATCCATCGAAGAGAGCCAGATCCCTGATCCAGACCATACTGCTACCTCCATACTCAGCCCAGAGCCAACCCCTAATAAAGCCACTCCAAGGAAACGGAAGAGCGCTGCGCCGCGAAAAGTTATCAAGGAGCTCACACCCGTCAAGGAGCCCACGCCCGGGGCCACGCCCGATAGTCAGCCTCATATACCGACACCCGCTCAGTCTGAGGAACCATCCGAGCTCCACGGCACGCCCCTAGCTGATATCACCGCCCAGAGCGTAAACCAGCAACAGCAGGACCCAGATGAGACCATCACCCAGGTTAAGCCTATTCGGGCGATGGATACTATCCTAGAGAGGCCTATGGATATCGTTCTAAAGTCGCGTAAGATGGCAGTGCCCGTCGTTGAAGATACAGGTCCCAGAGCTCGTATTGTTATCACATATCTGATCTTGACCAACTTCAAGAGTTACGCCGGAAGACAGGAGGTTGGCCCGTTCCATTCCTCTTTCTCTTCGGTAGTAGGACCCAACGGTTCCGGTAAATCGAATGTCATCGATTCGCTTCTTTTCGTCTTCGGATTTAGGGCAAGTAAGATGCGACAGGGCAAGATATCTGCTTTGATCCACAACTCCGCGGCCCACCCAAACCTGGATCACTGTGAAGTGGCTGTTCATTTCCAGGAGGTCATGGACCTGGTTAGTTTGATATAATGTGATATTACATAGGGATGTTATGCTGATTCTACATTTAGCCCGGGGGCGGAACGGAAGTAATTCCTAATTCTCAACTTATCATCTCGAGAAAAGCATTCAAGAATAACTCGAGTAAATACTACATTAACGGAGGCGAGTCTAATTTCACAACAGTTACTACTCTACTACGCGACCGAGGAATCGATCTCGACCATAAGCGTTTTCTCATCCTGCAAGGTGAGGTTGAATCAATTGCTCAGATGAAGGCTAAGGCTGGCAATGAGCACGAGGACGGTCTACTAGAATATTTAGAAGATATAATTGGCACCTCCAAATATAAAACGCCTATCGAAGAGGCAGCAGCGGAAGTAGAAACCCTTAATGAAGTTTGTATGGAGAAGAGCGGCCGTGTTCAGCATGTTGAAAAGGAGAAGAACGGTCTCGAGGATAAAAAGAATAAAGCTTTGGCCTTTATCCGCGACGAAAACGACTTGACTCTGAAGCAGTCAGCGCTCTATCAGCTTTACATTAGCGAGTGCAATAATAACGTGAGCGTGACTGAGGAGGCAATTAGCCAGATGCAGGCTCAGCTTGACGCCGAACTCGAGAAGCATCAAGGCAGCGAGCAGGTTATTAAACAGTTGCAAAAAGCCTATGCTAAGGGTTCTAAGGAGTTTGAGGCTCAGGAAAAGAATGTCCAGGCCCTCGTCAAGGAGGTCTCTAAGTTCGAGCAGGAGAGAGTCAAGTTCGATGAGAAACGCAAATTCTTGACTGACAAGCAGAAGAAACTCGAGAAGACGATCGCGAATGCCGAAAAGTCTGCAGCGGAAGCCGAGGAAACTGTTGAGCAATGCACCGAAGAGATTGCTTCGCGTGTCGAAGAGATCGCCGCTCTTGAGGAGCGTATGCAGGAAGAGGAGGCAGAACTTGCAACGATACGAGATAGCTTAAAGGGCAAGACGCAAGGATTCTCGGACCAGATTGCGGCCAAGCAAAAATCCCTAGAGCCTTGGAAAGAGAAGATCAACCAGAAGCAGTCTGCCATTGCTGTTGCCGAGTCCGAAATGGCCATTCTCGAAGAGAAGGCTAATGCTGGCGCTGTAGCACTTGAAGAGATGCAGACGAAGATTGCTAATATCGAAGAAGGCCGGAAAGCTAAATTGGCAGAACTTAAGGAGTGTCAAGCCGAAAAGGCAAAACTGGAGAAAGAAGCAAAAAAGGTCGTGGCCGATCTCGAAAGCCTGGTCCAAATGGAACCCAAAGCTCGGGCAAAGGTTTCAAATGCTCGGCAAAAGGCAGAAGAAGCGCGATCCAGCCTTTCTCAGACGCAAACCCGAGGTAATGTGCTTACCGCACTAATGCGAATGAAAGAATCGGGACGAATTGATAGCTTTCACGGCCGTCTCGGGAATCTAGGTACGATTGATGAAAAATATGACGTTGCTATCTCTACGGCCTGCCCATCTCTCGACAACTTCGTTACCGACACGGTGGAGGCCGGTCAGCAATGCATCGAGTATCTTCGCAAGACCAACCTCGGGCGTGGTAACTTTATATGTTTGGATAGGCTGCGCTCGCACGGTTTACAGCCTATCCAAACACCTGAGAATGCACCACGCCTGTTCGACCTGATCAAAGCTAAAGAAGACAAATTCCGACCTGCTTTCTACCACTCGCTGAAAGATACTCTTGTCGCCAAAGACCTAGCTCAGGCAAACCGGATTGCATATGGTGCCACGAGATGGCGGGTAGTCACACTTGATGGAGAACTTATTGACAAGATCGGTACTATGTCTGGAGGTGGAAATACCGCCAAGAGAGGCTTGATGTCGAGTAAGCTCGTGGCTGATACGTCTAAGGAGCAAGTCGCCAAGCTTGAGAACGACCGCGACGCTATTGAGCAGCAGTTCCAGGAATTCCAGGATCACCAACGAGAGCTCGAGTCGCGCTTGAGGTATCTGAAAGATCAGATCCCTCAGCTAGATACCAAGATGCAAAAAATTGGCTTGGAGATTCAAAGCGCCGAGAAAAACCTCGTGGACTCTCAGCGACGCATCAAGGAGCTCGGCAAAGAGCAGCAACCATCACAGTCTGACGACAACAGAGTCGCTGTGCTGCAAAAGGAGATCTCCAAATTAAACAAGGAGGTGTCAAAACTCCACGCCGAAACCGAAGGCTTGGAAGCAGAGATTAAAGAGCTTCAAGACAAGATCATGGAAGTCGGCGGAGAGAAGCTTCGTGCTCAGCGCACAAAAGTTGATGCCATCAAGGAAGAGATCGCCTCTCATAACGAGGAAACATCGAACGCTGAGGTAAAGAAGGCCAAAGCGGAAAAGTCGAAGACGAAGCTTGAAAAAGACCACGCCAAGGCCACCAAGGAGCTGGAAGCCGCGATACGAGACCTTGAGACGCTAGAAGAAGAAGTAGAGAATCAAGGTAGCAAGTCCGAATCTTTGAACGCTCGTGTCGAAGAGGCGGAAGAAGAGCTAGCGAAAAAGAAAAAGGAACTGTCTACATTAAAATCCGAATTGGACGAGAAGACATCTGAACTCAACGAAACGCGCGCGGTCGAGATCGAGATGCGTAATAAACTAGAGGAGAACCAGAAAGTACTCGTCGAAAATCAGAAGCGTCTGCGTTACTGGGATGAGAAGCTAGGAAAACTCGTCCTCCAGAACGTTAGCGATTTGAGCGGACCCCCAGCTGCCAAGAAGCCGACCAGACAGGTAGGTGAAGAAACAGCGGAAGACGAGGGGGAAGAACAGCAAGACCAGCCAGAACAGCAGGAAGAAGACGAGCAAGAGGAAGAGCCGGAACAACAACCCGGGGAACTTCCGCGCTTCACGGAGGATGAGCTGCAAGATATGGACAAGGAGACTCTTAAGGCCGAGATTGCTGCGCTTGAAGAAAAGACGCAAAATGTCAACGTGGATGTCAGCGTCTTATCGGAGTACCGCCGCAGAGTCGAGGAGCATGCAGCTCGGTCTTCTGATTTGGCAAGTGCCGTTCAGCAGCGCGATACCGCCAAGAAACGTTGCGACGACCTGCGCCGGTTAAGGCTGGAAGGCTTCATGGAAGGCTTCAGCATCATTTCTCTCCGACTTAAGGAGATGTACCAGATGATCACGATGGGTGGTAATGCTGAGCTGGAGCTCGTCGACAGTTTGGATCCCTTCAGCGAAGGCATCCTGTTCTCTGTCATGCCGCCGAAGAAGAGCTGGAAGAACATTAGCAACCTCAGTGGTGGGGAGAAGACATTATCTAGTCTTGCCCTAGTGTTTGCGCTGCACCATTACAAGCCAACGCCCCTATATGTCATGGATGAGATTGACGCCGCCCTGGATTTCAGGAATGTGAGTATCCCCCTACATTTCCAGCTTCTCATTAAGTCTTGTGAAATATTTGCTAATAGTAATATTAACTAGGTGTCCATCGTGGCCAACTACATCAAGGAGCGGACAAAGAACGCACAATTCGTAGTCATCTCGCTGCGCAATAACATGTTCGAGCTCGCAGCCCGACTAGTCGGCGTGTACAAAGTCAACCACATGACCAAGAGCGTAACGATCGAGAACCGCGACTTTATCGTCCGCGGTGCGATGGCGAGACAACAACAGCAACAGCAACACGGCCAGACCGTGGTTTCATGACGGGATGGATGACCTCGGTTAGAATACATATGATATTTATTGCTTGTGTAATGAACGCTTTAGCGCGGAGCGCAATGGGCTACGATGTTTGGGCTGGCGGTCAACGCAATGTCTATCACGGATTCGATGAATGGTGGGCGCGCGCGTAATGATACGAATATCCAAATGCGCGCTGGAGCAAAGCTTATTTGGAATATGAATATACGTTTTGATTGATTCCTCTGTCTTATATCGTGGTCGGTGTAAAGTAGACCTAGGTTACTTAGCAGTTACCTCTTAGAACCTTCTCATAGATGTAGACCAGGAAGTTAGACGTGAACAATGACCGTCTACCCGTGCCATAAACGTCTTTGTTACATGTAATCATAAAAGATTCAATTTATGTACATTGGCCAGTCTCCTGATGATCTAATCTAGGCTAGGATATAGGCTTTATTAGCAAAACGGTTAACCACTAACAAGGAAGCAACTATTAAAGCTTCCCCACACCTCTAAAAGGGCGTGTAACTCAGTGGTAGAGTGCTCGCTTCGCATGCGAGAAGTCCAGGGTTCGACTCCCTGCTCGTCCATTTTTTTACTCTATTCATCATCTATGCAATGGTGGATGCTCTTTATTTTTCCCCCTTTTTCCCCTCTTTCCCTTAGTTACTTATTTCTATAGTTTCCGAGCCTTATGCTCTTAACCGTCAATCGTCTAGTCTCGTAATAATAGGGTTTGGTTAATTTTTATACCTTACTCTTGGAATAGTCAACGCTAGATTGTGCATAGAAGGCTGGGTGATACCGGAGATACTATCTATCTATTGATTCTTAACCCTACTGGACCAAAATGAAATTATCTTGATTATGAAGTTTACTAGACCATTCAAGTCACAAGATCTTCGGCGATGTTGAATTAAAGAGGTGATTAGACAGTCCAGTTAAATAAAGCCTTTGGCTAATATGATAATCTTCCAAGCCCAGCTATCTAGACCGAAGTTTGAAATGTACTTCTTGATGGGAAAACTAGTCACAGAGGGCAAAAGCCGTAATTATGCATGGCCAATAAAAAGCAGTTGTTTACGTCGTGGCAATATGACTTGATTCATAAGTCATTATCTGAGGTAGTAATCATACCGAAAACCGTTTTTCATGCAAGTGAAACCATTTCCGATGACCAGATTCATCGTCCCAGACCCTATCACTCCCCTAGACACCGAAAAGAAGCATTTAGGCAACCTTGGCAGTCTGGGTGGGAGTCACCTTCTTGCCATCCTTGTTGTAACGCACACGCGGGGGAGGGGCCCTGTTTCGGCGGCCAACACGCGATCGGACACTAGAGATATATTGTTAGCGGGTATAGTTCGAGATCGAGGAGGGGAGGAATAGGAGGAATAGGAGGAGTTTTCGTTCGAGGTTCAACCAAGGCTCATCTCAGGCGCATACGCTGCCCGCTGATGAGCGCGTAGTCGGTCTCCTAAACGGGACGACGTACCGGACAATCTTGCCGTGGATAGCACAAGAGACACAGTACTGCAGCTTGAGGTACATCTTGGGAACCGTGTACTCGGCGAAGACGGAGGCGTCCGAGATATCACCTGCGAGCGAAGTCTGTTAGCTTGGCTCATAATTGATACGTATGGAGGGAAGACGTACGGATGGCGGCGGACTCGACCATGTTGCGGATGGTGAAGCGCTTGATGGCCTTGTCCTTAGGGGTGCATCGCGAGCAGTTGCTGCATCGGATGGGCTTGACGTGGCCGCGGCCCTTCTTGTTGCGGCCGTTGTTCTTTCTCTTCTTGACCATGATGACGGTGTTCTCTATTATCCTACAATGTTAGAATGGTAATTGACAAGAGTCAAGGCGGGGAGACACGAGGACACGAGGACACGAGATTCGCACGTACAGGACTTTCTGCTTGGAAGTTGTCGAAAAGAGAAAGTTGGGCTGGTGGATTGGAGGAGTTGTTTTCTGTGTTGAAATTGGTGCGCGCAACTTTGTCTAGGTCCAAAATTGTTTAGAGGCGCTCCACTGCAAAGGAGAAAGAATTGGGCCAATCAGAGTGGAGTTAGCCGATGGAGGGGCAAAATTAGCTACTGCAAACAGGTGCGACAGGGCAAGTAGGATAAGAAACCCTAGCACGTGATTTTACCGGTAATCCAGGTTGAATTACCTAATCGTTTTTTGATGGGGACCCACCACACCACCACCAGATTGTACTTCCATAACTTTTCGCGGCTCCAACTCCCCTCCTACTTTTTTTTCCTTCCCCAAACCAAAACTTATCTGGTTGCTTAGGACGGCAATAGCGATATTGTCTAGGTACGTCTTCTCATATTATAAGTCTATATTCATACAATCTCAATGATTTTATGATTCCCTTTGCGATGCCAGCCATTCATGCTTCTACGTATTTGATTGCGTCGCCGCAGTGCCAAGTCGCATTCCCATGCGCATCATTAATATCCCCCAAATTTAACTCTTAATGGCACTCATCTCTAACATCTAATCTCCTCCAACAGGCAATCATGCAGATTTTCGTCAAGACCCTCACGGGCAAGACTATCACCCTCGAGGTGGAGTCAAGCGACACTATCGACAATGTCAAGTCTAAGATTCAGGACAAGGAGGGAATCCCCCCTGACCAACAGCGATTGATCTTCGCCGGCAAGCAGCTTGAGGATGGCCGAACTCTCTCCGACTACAACATCCAGAAGGAGAGCACCCTCCACCTTGTGCTCCGCCTCCGTGGTGGCGCCAAGAAGCGCAAGAAGAAGGTCTACAGTACCCCCAAGAAGATCAAGCACAAGCGCAAGAAGACCAAGTTAGCCGTCCTTAAGTACTACAAGGTCGACGGCGATGGCAAGATTGAGCGTCTCCGCCGCGAGTGCCCTGCTGATACCGTGAGTTACTCCTTTCACATAATGATTACGAGTTAATATACTAATGCTATTCAAACAGTGCGGTGCTGGTGTCTTCATGGCTGCCATGCAGGACCGACAGTACTGTGGCCGATGCCACCTTACCTACGTCTTCGACAAGCAGTAAATGCTTATCGAGTCGTTTTGGAGTGTACACGGTTAGGAGTTCGGAACATCGGGACGGGCTTACGGGAATCATGATAGGACATGGATGACTTAGCTCAGTTTCTATGAATACGAATTCATGCACAAGTACTACTATACTACTATTTCTAGATCGTGAAATGTTGTTGCGTGGCCTTAATACTCCTAGTTCTAGCACCTATTAACTAATATGTAATATGCAATCTTATACTATTAGTCTACTTTGAGATTAGGTAGTCAAGCTACGGATCAAGTAGGATCCCTAATAGAAATTACTTGCTCTCGAATACAGTTCCGGCGGTCCGCATCTTCGTAATGCTTATCCGAAGCTATCACGAAGTTCTAGTCACGTACTATCTTCACATCTACGACAGCAGAGATATTTCCCTTTGCAAAGGCAAGACTTCTTGGGATGGATTATTGATTCTTTTTATTCATAGACCCGACTGCTACCAAGTTGCGCGTACATAGGTCATTTGTATCTGGTGAATTACCAGTCGTCTATCGTATATATATGCCGAACCCATCAGAGCAACCGCTCATATTCCACGGAACTGAATCCGTATAACCCATAGACATTCTACACAACCCCTATATCCTTTCATTTTGCCCGTGTTTTCCGCTCAATAATCCCCATCCTAGTTATTAGGAAACCCGGCCCTGAGGTTCTCATACTTACTATACGGATATTCAATCAAATTTGGCTTACGATCCAGCGCCCCCGGTCCACCCAACACATCAACCACATTCCCGATCAAGCTCTCTCTTCCCTCCTTATCGGCACTACTCTCCCACCACATGGCGCCACCTAGCCGTCGCTCCTCGCGGATCCACCACGCTTTTGTCCGCGCCATGTCCACCGTGTCGTAGCTGACCAGTGTCCGCGTATTGGGCTCGTAGCAGTAGCTGGCCCGGGCCTCGCGGTCGAAATACTCTGTGGCACCAGGTAATGGTAGTTTTTTATAGTCGTGCACGCCGTTCTCCCAGGTTCCCTCGCCAACGCCACTATATCCGCTTCCTAGACCATCAGTGCCTTGGAACGCGCGCCCGTATAGCGGCATCCCAAGAACTATCTTACTCGGGGCTACGCCCCGTGATAGGTAGTAATCGACAGCGGCAACGGTGCTGAAGGGCGTAGCGCGTGGGTTAGATGCGCTCGGGTACAGGTTCGCCTGGTGCCCCGCCACCGAGTCCCACGACCCCGCGTAGTCGTACGCCATCAGGTTCCAGAAGTCGAGCACCCGGTCCATACCCTGGATATCAAGCTTAGTGAAGTTCTGCGCGCCGGCTGGACAGGCTACCGTCAGCTCGAAGTGGTACGGCGTGGGCAAGGTGCGGCTATACGCGTCCATGGCCTCGCGCACGGCGTACAGCAAGGCGACGAAGTCGGCGGCCTCGGCTGGGGATTGCGGGTACTCCCAGTCCACGTCGATGCCGTCGAAGCCCAAGTTCTTGATTAGCTCGACGCAGGAGTTGGCGAAGTTGGCGCGGCCTTGGGGTGTAGATGCCGGCTGCTTGAAGTTGCTGCTGTAGGTCCAGCCGCCGACAGAAAGAAGGACTTTAAGTTGTCGGTTCCTGCGCTTGAGAAGGTTGAGCTGCTTGAGGCAGCCGTATAGATTGGTGCCGACATCATTCCAGCTATCGCCTTCCCAGTGGATATCTGTGTCGGCCCAGGTATCAGTTAGATAGACCTCGCCGGACTCTGGACGCACGTTGGCAAAGGCGTATAAGATGTGCGTCAACTTCTCGACGGGTAGGTCTTGAGGCCGGTGCTTACGGCCGTAGATGGCCCAGTTGACGAAATAAGCGACTGTGCGGAATTGGTATGCCATGTTCACTTCTGCGGTGGGAGGAGAGGAAGAAGGCGAGTAAGAAATGAGAAAGTTTGGAAGAAGACGGTAGGCTAAGGTGAGGAGAGCTGGTGAGAGGTGGGATGATGAGAGCAAGGAGGGGTAGTGATGGTAGTGATGTGTAAGTATGAAGGCCGCAAGCAATGCTGTCACGGCAAGGATGTAAGGGAGAAGAGATCTGAGTCGTGGAATATGCTATGTTTTGGGAAATGGTAGCTTTTATAAGTTTATATATAATAAGTGATAATGCATGTCTGTCTTTCTATCTTTATTCTCAAGTGAATCGATATGATACCTATGTAATTCAACTTCAGGTTGAGCTGTGTGGCTTAGAGCTGAGAGCTTGCCTGTACCAAAGTGGCGATGAGGGAGGGATACTGTACCTACGTCTTAGCTCATAGCTCTCTCCGGTAACCAATCACATTTTGAATATCCATGCAATCGTTTCTCATACCTGTAAGGGATCCGCGGTCGTGACATCGATTCATTGGTCGGCCTTGTCAGTTTTTTTTATTTCAGCTTGGCAACTGGATAACACGGCATAGAAAAATAAATGGAGAATGACTTGCTTAAATGGAGTATCAGGAACTTGTCTTGCGTGGCAGTGTGGCTGAAGCTGCAAATCAGAGTGTCAAATGTGGCTTGTGGCTTGTGCATATTCCAAGGTTGGCTGCCTCTTGACCCCCTTTTCATAAACTCGGCCTATGTAAGCCATCTGACCTCGAAGACGCTAGAACCCACGTCACGTCTGATCTAGGTTCAATCAAAGGCTTTATTCAACTTTGACACATAGTTCAGATATAAAGTAGCACCTAAAGCTATCTAATATCTTAGTCCAAGCGTCGACAGTCCATTTCTCCTGCGAATATGCTCACATGATATTCCACATGCCTACCAAATTTGATAAACAGTGAACCAAACTAATTACAAATATATGAAATATCTAGTGAATATTACATACTCTACCTACCTAAATCAGCAAGACATAGAAAAAAGCTGGCTTCCAAGTCAGAATGCCATCGTGATTGACTACCGACCTAGAACTGTTCTTTGTGTTTTTGATAGATGCTAGTCTGTTGAGTGTTGGAACTACCTGTGCATAATAAGCTTGATCTAAGTAAGTATCGTCCCAACTTTGTTCACGTAGAAGATTTCGAAGATAGTTCATCAAGAAATATAAAAGCAGAATCGATTTCCTTCTCGAAATCTGCAATCACATGTTTGCAATTAAGACTTCGTATGATTTGATAGACTTGCCTTCAAGAATTCGACAAGACAGAGTATACGTTGCCATGTCATTGCCCAACCACAGGCGCGCACGCCTATATAACAAGACAGGTTTCAGTGTCAAGACGTTCAACTGGGACGGTTTACCGCCCGAAATCCACCTAGATATTTTCAATTTCCTGCTCTCTATGAATCAATACAGCCATGGTAAGCATCATAAATCCACCTACGCCGCCGTCTGCCTCAGATGGAACCAATTTTTTGAGCCGCAGAATTTCGCTCAACTGAAAATCAGCCAGTGGGATCTAGAACTTTTCGAAAAGATCGTTACTGCAAAGAGAAAAAAATTACTTAGTACATTGTGGTTTTGCGTGGAACTTCGCCCATACGATTGCCGCTCTTGTCGCTTCAAGGAGACCAACGACGAAGCCACGATGAATAGTGCATTCTTTACAGATGCTATGTTCCGCTTCTACGACGTTATGCCCAAGTGGGGACTTACAGACGGAAATCAGACTCATGAAATAGACCTGACCATAATGCTAAGTGCTTGGTCACCAAGCGACCAGGAACATTACTTTCGAGATCACCGCTTCGAGAACGATAGTTTTAGCGTCTACCGTCGGTCTCGTGTAAATCACAACGATGTAACCCATGGGTGGAAGACAGGATATCGTATTCCTCCGAAAATGGATGTTTGTCTACGACTAGTCGGAAAGCTACTTAGTTTCGAACCCGAGCTCATACACAAGGACTAGGAGGGCTCGTTTCCAAAGCTAGACTTCGTGACAGGTCTCGTCATTCCCCGGCAGTTCTACCGGCCGATTCCCAGATTAGATCTGATTTTGCCTAGCTTCCCGAAGCTGAGGTTTTTCCAATACGAGCCTTGGCGTGCTATCTCTATGGAGCTTGAAAAGTACCAACGATACATGTTCAATTATTTTTTGGACTTCTTGCCGCCAACCCTAGAAAGATTTTCGGTGTTTGAGGACTTTAGCGAAGACATTCATGCGTGGTCGAAAGAGAGCTAAGGAACTTCAGAGTTGCGCGACCTCTGCTAAGTATAAGTCGTAACTTTGTCGAGCTCGACGTGTCGTTCATCATCGATGCTGAGCAGTTCTTACGCCCTTTCTACCCGAAATTCAAAGGAAACCCCATCGATTTCACATGGAAAAACTTGCGGGGCTTAACGTTAACTTCGTGGACCCTCATCAATCCATTGAAAGAGCAAGGGCGGCTGGATGACCTGCTTTGGTGCGCTGCTCGAGCCGTCTTAAGGATGCCAAGGCTCGAGAAGATGGAGATATGGGCCGGCTCTCATAAATTCGTCGGCATCTTTCGCTATACTCGGTCGTGTACTGAGGTGTTGATTGAGATGGAAGAAACGGATAATACCTATATACTACCGGAGCGTGTCATAAGAGCTTGGCAAGTAGTGGCGAATAAGTATACCCAAGGACGCCTTCGTACTTCGTACAACAGACCGCCAAATATGGTCCAGCGCTATCAAAACACATAGGTCGGCTCTACGCTACTTGGAAAGAGCTGACATAATTCTGTCGCCTGCGTTTACCCCTCAACTGATGTAGGAGTATTTCATTTAGGGCGCGAGGAATGTTAGTATATAGGAGGAGAATTCGCCATCGAGGTTATTGGACGCCGAATCTGAGTTGCACATTAACGTTCATTTGTTTGAGAACAGCAGATACCCATATCACTAGCATTGTATCAACCAAGACAGACAGAAAATATAAGATAATAAGATTCCTCTATATGTAAAACGCCGATAATGCATAGGTAGCTAGCTAACTATCGAATCTAAGAGCAGGAGAGAAAAGGCGCTAGAGCATGTAAATGTATAGGGCAAAGATAAGCGACATAATATCTAACCCTTCCATCCTCATCATCAATCATTTAAGGAACAGGGCCGTGGCAGTCTTCCTTCGTGGGCTCTGGCCTTCGCTGCTTGGTGGCCCTGCCTCCGAAGCCCCATCCGATCTGGTTTGCAACATAGGTTGCTACTTGGAGCTATAAATCGCAAGAAGATGTTAGCAATCATATTCCAAAATGAAACAATTCCCTTGATGGTATTTATCACGTACCTCTTCAGCCCAAGTCCAGACAAGACCGGGGTTCTTCTGGAACATGCGTCCAACACCCGCGATATCCACGGGAGTGTCATCGGCGTCTTTGCCGCCCACAAGCAGATCATTAGCTTGCTGTCCGTTCATGATAGTACCGACAGTGACCACGTATGCGCTGTCGCCAACAGCTCGCTTGATGGCCTTGGCGAACGGCGCCTGGTAACCGGGGCCTCGGGCGATCTTCTGAAGCGGGTGGTTTCCGGCGCTGGAGACGTCGATAACATCAACACCGTGCTGGGCAAGCAGCACAGACAGGCGCACCGAGTCCTCCAACTTCCAGCTGTCACCAGTGTAGCCCTCAACACCCTCAAGCCAGTCAGTAGCACTAATACGTGCGAATAGGGGCATATCAGCTGGCATAATAGCGCGGACTTCATCCGCCAGCTCAAGAATCAGACGCGCGCGGTTCTCGAAGCTACCGCCGTACTTATCCGTGCGGTGGTTAGTAACAGGCGACAGGAACTCGTGGAGGAGGTACCCGTGAGCGCAGTGTAGCTCCAGCACATCAAATCCGATGGTGATAGCGCGCTTGGCAGCCGCCACGAAATCGACCTTGAGCTGCGCGATCTCCTCCAGCGTTAGCGCCTTAGGCACCACGTGGTTCTCGTCGTAGGGGATGGCGCTCGGCGCAACCACATCGTCGGGCCAGCCGCCCACATCGGCAGCAGCCGTAGCACCCCTGTGCAACCACGGCGCGAGGGCGGAGGCCTTGCGGCCGGCGTGGGCGAGCTGGATGGCGATGTGCTGACCTTGGGAGTGGGCGAAGTCGACCGTGCGCTTGATGCCCTCCATGTGGTCGTCGAGCCAGAGTCCGGAGTCATTAGGAGTAATACGTCCGCGAGCCTGGACGGCGGTGGCTTCGATCATGGTTAAGCCCGGCTGTAGGAGTGGTTAACAAAGTCTTGGTTGTTACTTTTTGCACGATCAAGAGACTTACCCCGCGCTGGATGATACCGCCAAGGTGAGTTAAGTGCCAGAAGGTGTGGAAGCCGTTTTCAGCCGAGTACTGGCATAGCGGAGAAAGCATAATACGGTTCTGAAGGGTGAGGCCACGGATCTTGAGGGGAGTGAAGAGCTTCGGGATGGTGCTTCCATCGGGCTGGGGATCTAGAGCGGTTCCCGCAGGAGGCTCTTGGGCTGGTGTGAAGAATGGGACACCCTTGGCCGCCTTGTTAGGGATGCTCAAGGCATTGACCTTGGTACCGTTGACAGTAGACATATTTGTGTTGGTATGGGGGTTTCTTGTTATAGTGAATTATATATCAAAGATCTAAATAGCAACGCTGGGTAGTAATGTTGAAGAACAAGGTCTAGAGGGTATGATGCTGAACTGTTGATATTGAATGATGATGCTGAATAGTGAGGAGAAGTTATGATATTGAGCTGGAGTGTCGGCTAGGCTATATATATTTCTGAGCTATCGCAAAACAACATACGTCCACCTTTCCACCCTCCATGCCAGTGACGTTACTAAGCGCCGTGGTGGTGAGCCCCTCCATAACCATCTCAGGATAGTAAAAGGCTACAAAAAACGGGGACTCGTACTACCTCGTAGGAATATCTCCGACAGTATAAGCTAGTTTCACACAGGGATTACAAAGTGCCGACCAACATCACCAATCAGAATTAAAAATCCACATTGATTTTGATACATGGTTGATTTTTACCCGATAAAACTTCTCTAATGCAAAATCGCGCCTTAGGAGATAAATCGGGGACGCTAAATGACGTCGCGATGGTCTGGCCAGAACCAGTTAGAGTGGAGGATTAATGACCCGTTAGCTACGACACAAACAGAGTACGATTAGATAGCTAGACAATTGTCCCGGTATTATATAATCAATCACCCGATATCTTCTTTTCGCGGAGAATGCGGAGTTGCATCGCCGGAACTTGTTGCTGGCAAACCGCAAATCAGTCTTAGCTTTGGAGCATGCGGAGTCGATCACTAATACCTAGCAAACAAACTAAGCCAATAACCCCTGTCCTCTCGGAGAATACGGAGTCGAATTTTGGATGATTTCCCAATTAGGTAGTTCTGATGAGTAATCAGCCGCCAGGCCGGACCGGGTATTAGAATCCCCGGGCCGTGATTAGACATTCAGGACCCACTTCGGGCCGGCCCGGTGCCGGAAGTATAACAAAAGAACTTTAAACCTTAAGTCACATGATGCACATTACTTCACATTTACTTGTTCAGTTACTTACTTAGGTACAGACATACCTCAGGTATATATATCACACTTACAGAGTACTCATACACCTGACTGCTTACGATAAGATATCATTCACGGGCCATTTGGGACATGCCATCAGAAATAAGGGGACTTTGGAGAGTCTTCATTGGTTCTCTCTTGTAAGGTTGGTATTTTCCACCTTAGGGAGGTTAGGTATCTAGGTAGATTAGGCAGATAGGGTACATGAGGGAATCCATGGGCTGGTAAGGGCCAAACCCAAATCAAATGCTAATCTTAACTTTCTTCAAGCTCAAACAAACTAACTTTCGAGAATAGAACCAATCCATATCGTTCCAGATAACCAGCAATGTATCTATTGTAAGGGAATATTCGAGTGTCGTAGGTATTAGGGATTTGTACTTGGCCTGTTTAAGGTGGATATTAGGTTATCATATTCACAAAGTTAGTAGAATGGGATAGATAATTGCTTACCGGTAATTTATGCGGTGCACTGGTCAGCCGGAATTTGGATATCGTCATCGACTTGGGTAGTGGCATACTGGTCCTGGAGGACCTTGGATCTACCACGAAAGCCATGCTTGGTGCGGACATGATGGACCAGGAGATGAAACTTTATGGCATTATAGCCACAAATGCCGCAGCAACGCCTATTGATGGCGTCTGCTTGTAGGAACGCCGAATTGACACGGTGTTTCTTAGATATATGGGAACTGATGTTGTGGCGGGCGTTCATCATCTCGGCGCCGCAGTTGTTGACCCCACACGAGAATTTCCCATTAGCGAGGATACGGCCTTGCGCATTTGGATGGTCAATCTCATTGCCTTGAGCGTCCTATGAAGAGGTAAGAATTAGCCAGCCTTCTCTACCACAGAATAAAGATCTTGATCATGCTGGTAAGTAAGATAGGGACGAGGATGTCAATGTCGGTTCCTGTGTATCATGATAACCACTTCACATGGGGATTATTGTAACATCACAACGGTATAATATTTCTCAAAGAGACAGTACAGTAGAATGGGGCGATTAGAGGTAACAGGAGGGAATTCCTGTCATGTGCTTCGTGATATGGTGTCTAGGGAGAGTATGTGATGTGATTTATGATAGTAGGGCTGGGGGAAAAGACAATTAGAGAGATGTTTTTTACTTACAAGATTAGGCGCCATGGCTGTAGGTAGTAACAAGCCCTAATATATCTTTTGTAGACGGTTGATAGTTGAATACCGTGAGAAGGATCGCCGTGTAGCAGCAGTAGAGGTAGTTAAGGGTAATAGAAGAATGTTAGATGAATGATATTGATAGGATATTTTGATGTAAGGAATATTCATCCGTGTTGTATGATGATAGTTGTTAAGTAATATGCCTGGCTTTTAGGTAACGGTGTCGGCGAAAATATTTGTTGTAAGGTAAGGCAAATTATGTTGATGTTGAAGATGTTGTCTGCAGGAGAAGTCTCTTGGAGGGGAGGGGACGAGTTTAAATACTGCCGAGAAGGCGGTGATTTGAGCAAGTAACGCGTCGAGCAGCGGCAGTAACGACCCTATCACGCGTATCAATGTACCGGACGACATCAAGGTACTGCACTTGAATCTGGTTAAACCTGCAGGAACGGCAATGACAACCTTAGCACCTGACGATTCTTAGGGTGCTAAAACCGTTATCGTAGTCTATCGATACGTAGGGAACATTTTTACAATCATATCAAGACCAATAAGACAACGTTAGATTACTCTAGGTAAGACTACGTATTTGCTATACAGCATTCAGACCAATTAGGCTTTGTAGATCGTTATGAAACAAGTTTGATCCCAACCTAGATTGTCCCCTGCCGCAAACCTACTTGAGGATGCCCAAGGTATCATGCTTATGGCACCAAAGTGAATAAGTCACTAGGTGCCTCCTATCAGACCCCAGGTACTAGGTACCGTAAGAGTCATCAGGCATTCACTACATATTGATTATCCAAGGGAGGCACGGCGCTAGGGGCGCCGTTGCTGCCAATTATGTCCTGCTAATTGCTGTACCTTCCAGCCGCCATGTTTTCTGGTTGCCGTACTTTCCATACCAGTAAAAAAACATTTACCGGCGCATGATTGGCCTCTCTGGGCCAGGTGGTAGGTACATTTCTATGCCAATAACCCATGACCATATACCGGCATGTTCTGCAGAGTTTTCTTAGGCAATTTCTTACGCCGGTAAGGTACAGTAAGGATATTTATCTGCTTAAATATTAAAGGCTTATATGTAAATTCCAATTATGGTTAGGGTGTTAGGTGCACTTATATGGTTTAATAAAATTATTTTATTATTATTTACAATGTTATGGACCATCCCGAAAGCCTCTACCGTTCAGAGATCACAGGCAGGAACAGAAGGAGATAAAAATAAAGAAAGGAGCATCACAAAGTCCAAGAAAACGGCAAAACCGCCGAAACCGCCGAAACTTAAGAAGTAAAGGAATATTTTATATAATTCTGTTATTACTACTAAGGCATAATGTCAGTAATATGTGAAATTATATGTATTCCAAGTTAGAAGAAAAAATAATGGATATATATTTACCATATTGTCCATTATGGTAAAGGGCTATGTCTTATACCTTTAGGGTTATATAGCTTTGCTTAAACAACCGCCAAGGTATAATAGAACCTGTATACTTGAAATAAAGGCCATAATAGAGATAATATTTTGTTATGCTTCAACGGGTCGGTATTTGGTATGGCAATATACCCGTTCTCCTATCAAGTTGATGGGTGTAAAGAGAAGATGGTTCTTGTTGAATAGAATGGAATCTAGGGGAGGATATTGGGTAATGTTCTATTTAGTAAGTATACCAATAGAAGGGCTGATAGTATTGCTCTTAAATATCTATTATTGGGATCTATCACGTTAAGGAACGCTGTCGTATGGTCATAGGGTCTGAGAGTATAATGGTATGTTGATTGAGGTTGAGGGATAAATTAAAGCTGTCTAAAAGAACCTTAGCAGATCTCCTTAAACAGACATTCGGCTGATCATATAACCAGGAATACTTAGAGCAGTTGGATTTGTCACAATTCCCAGAAGCAACTAGACAAGCTCTGAGTACCAACGTGTGATAGCTTCCAAGTAGAAGAACGCCGACTGAAATTGGACATCTGGTCTAGGCTAGCCTTAAGGCAACAATGTCCTTTGCAACGTTGTTGTCTCTAGTATTGGAGTCCTGGGGTAATTTGTAAGTATAACGAAGACTGTAGATGATTTAGTTAGAGTTGGAGAGACTTCATAACTTAACTGGGTGGCATTCTTGTTTCTAATTGCTAAAGACGTAGATACTTGCTACGCCGGTAGCATAGTCTGTGGCTGGAATCCTGCTCGTGGATGCTGAACGATATAAGGCCGGCTTAGCGCTTGTAATATCGAATGACGACTATGTTGGAGGTAAATATCAACTCGTCTGGTTCACATCTATTGGTATGCTGTCTATCAGAATTAATATCATGGCAATAGAGGAGTCTTTGTCCACAGTACTTACCTACATCCCGACTGTCTGAGGCTTGGCTGTGATGATCGTGTTGAACTATTGGGAACAGTGTGGGTTATGCATTCTTCAAAAGAAAGGACCCATTCCGTGGGTTAGATCACATATTCAATAAATTAAGTAGGTTTGGAAATACATGCTATAATTACCTAATAAATGCTTCTCCGAAATGTCAGGACAGGCCCTGAGGCATGGTAGTGATACGTCGACGACCTGATAACTTTCCTTACCTTATTTGGTTAGAAATGGTTTAATGGCTGAAAAATCAATACATAGAAAATATCTGGGCGGTTGGTTACATGCAAATGTACCAAGGTAGTGCTTAGATATTCCGGGGTTTTGCCGAATTGGTACGTACCTTCTAGTGGGGACCTGAGCTCGACAAAATTTTTGTACCTTTTTCTTTGCAAAGCTTCAATTTTTCATCCCATCACACACGCTACGCCTAACACGACAATCTTGTATGCGCAAATCTACGCAAGGATTTATTCAACGGGCAAGATGACGCGAGTAGACTTTCTGCTGCATGAGTCCGCTGTCGGATATGCTATCTTCAAGGTTGTCCACCAGCAGGACGCTGTTGGTCTGCACCTGAAAGAGGTCCAGAAGGCTGGTCAGGACCTCTCCAAATTTGGCAAGATGGTGCAATTGGTTAACTTTGCGCCTTGGAGGTATGACCGACTGTGATTACTGAATGTGCTCTATGATAAAGTAGCTGACGCCATGATCCCTAGAAATGCCGCCGACGCGCTCGAGAATATTAATCTTATTTCGGAGGGTATACTCCCCGACTATCTTCAGTCCAATCTCGAATTGAACCTGCCCCAATCGAAGAAGAGCAAGATCATCCTTGGTGTTGCCGATAAAAACTTGGCTGGTTCCATTAAGGCTGCTTTCCCCGGCGTTGAGTGCGAGACCGGCGATACGTCTGAGGTCGTCGCTGACCTCTTAAGAGGTATCCGCCTTCACGCAGCTAAGTTGCTAAAGGGTCTCCAAGAGGGGGACGTAGAGAGAGCCCAGCTGGGTCTTGGCCACGCCTACTCGCGTGGAAAGGTTAAGTTCAACGTCCACAAGAATGACAACCACATCATCAGAGCCATTGCCACTCTAGACAACCTCGACAAGGGTATCAATCTATTCTCTCAAAAAGTACGAGAGTGGTACGGCTGGCATTTCCCTGAGCTCTTTAGCATTGTCTCTGATAATTTGACCTATTCACGCTTGGCTCTCTTCATTGGCGACAAATCTACCCTGTCAGAGGACAAGCTTCACGAGATTGCCGCTCTGGTCAACGATGACGAAGAGAAGGCGCAGGAGATCCTTACCAGGGCTAAGATATCCATGGGGCGAGAGCTGTCAGAAGTTGATATGAATAACATCTCTACCTTCGCTGGCAAGGTAGTTAAACTCGCTGAGTACCGAAGAACGCTCTATAGCTATTTGGTCGATAAGATGAGCACGGTTGCGCCTAATCTGGCTGCGCTCATCGGCGAAGTTGTTGCTGCTCGTCTTATTCAAAAGGCTGGTTCTCTGACAAACTTGTCCAAGTATCCGGCCTCTACGCTCCAGATTCTTGGTGCCGAGAAGGCTCTGTTCCGTGCCTTGAAGACGAAGGGCAACACTCCCAAGTTTGGTCTCATCTACCACAGCACGTATATTGGCCGAGCAAGTCAAAAGGACAAGGGCCGTATTTCGCGATATCTTGCAAACAAGTGCAGTATCGCCAGCCGAATTGACAACTTTGCCGAGCAGCCGTCAAAGAAGTTTGGAGATGCGTTAAGAAGACAAGTTGAAGACCGCTTGGAATTCTATGCCACTGGCAAAAAGCCAACTAAGAACGCAGATGCGATGGTATGTCTGCCCTTTAGATTTCCCGCTTCTCAAGTTACTAACGCACGAACAGAACCAAGCAATGGCCGATATCCTCGCCGATGGTCAGAGTCTGGCTATTGACACAGAGATGATCGATGCTCATCCCCAAGCCAACGCCGCTACGCCTAAGAAAGAAAAGAAATCCAAGGACAAGAAGGAAAAGAAGCGCAAGCATAGCGACGTGAACGGCCTGGTGGAAGTGGAGGCGGACGGAGACAAGAAGAAGAAAAAGAAGAAGAAGCACGCGGATGAGTAAGAAGGTGCCGTCCCGCAGACGTTGAAAAGATACACGGTTGAACCAGGCATCGGTTGGGCGTTCCGGATTTGCAGGTGTTTCTCCAGGCGTGGTTGTGTATAGGGTAGGTTCATACCCATCGTTATTCTGCTGGTTTTAGTGGAACTTAGTGTCTATGAATCAACGAGTCGAGGGGGATATTGTTTTATTTCAACTGTTCATGTTTATGCTGCTGGCTGCTATGATTTGTTGCTCCTAACTTGAGGTACCTTAGGTACTTATGCATATGATTTATCAATATAAGTCAGTGCTTTGGCAATAAGGTACTTTGATATGGAATAGTTTTATGAGGCTGTACTTTTCAGTCTATCTGATCCAGCAATATTCGTAAGTATATTGGGCTGATTTCGATCCGTAGGACGTTGATGCCTATTAGCGAGCCGAATAAATGGGTATACTACTAGTATTTCCCCTTCTCGCTGCCCTTCCTGGCCCATTTCCTCCCGCCAGAATTAGATAGGTTCCATAGTCTCACATCGGCCCAGAATTTGATCATCACATCGCAGAAGAGGACATGGATGAGCCCGACTGCACGATGTCTCCATCAGCACGTAGAGGTATGGGTAATTATCGGTCGCCATGATATCTAGCACAAGCAATCATATGTATTTCAACGGCCAACGAACTCGAACAGGTAGTCGCAAAGTGCCCAAACAATCATGAAGTTCGCCCAAAACGCCTGGTAATGCCGGTGCGCTCCGTAGCCTCCCCTAGTTCCCTTCGCTTCCAAACTCCTTGGTCCATTCCGAATTACGATTGAGATCCTCTTCAGACACCGTCGGCCTTGACGACTTGATAGCTTTTACGAAGTCCTTGAAGTCGACTAGTGGTTCGAGTAGCTTCTCTGGATCAATATCGTCCCACGTCATCTCCTTCGCTTGAGGGTCTCCTGGCGAGCATGGTGTTACAAGTGTATTTCCATCTTTTTGCACCTACGGATTAGATGTTAGTAACGGAGACTATTTGTGAAGGGATTTGTTTGATGGCTACCTCTTTGAAATGTGTGGCTTGTTGAATCTTGCGTATTGGCTGCATGAGGGCGTCTTGTACAGCAATGGTGATATCACTTCCCGAATAACCCTCAGTAAGCTTTGCTAATTCTCGATAGTCCTCGTTCTTTAGTGTGGTGGGTGTTTCTCCAATGGCTAGTTTGAACATGGTAGTCCTTGCAGCAATGTCCGGCAGGCTGATGTGTACTCTTCGTTGGAAACGTCTTCGAATGGCAGCGTCTAATTGCCAGGGGATGTTGGTTGCGCCTAATACTAGCACGCCTGTCGAATCTTTACCAACACCGTCCATCTGTACTAACATCTCGGTCTTAATTCTTCGGGAGGCTTCCGACTCGCCTTCGCCTCGGGGACCACAAAGAGCGTCTACTTCGTCGATAAAAATAATAGAAGGCCTGTTTTCTCGTGCCATAGCAAAGAGCTGCTTGACTAACCTATATGCCAAGAAAATGTCAGTTCATGGTCCCTCGGGTCGGAATATGGTCTTAGCAAGCGTACCTTTCACTCTCACCCATCCATTTGCTCACCAAGTCACTACTGCTCACGCTGAAGAATGTGCTATTTGCTTCTGTAGCGACCGCCTTTGCCAAATAACTCTTACCCGTACCGGGGGGGCCGTAGAGCAGAATACCCTTCCACGGCTTGCGTTTCCCTTGGAATAGATTAGGAAACTTAATGGGAAGTAATACAGCCTCTTTAAGTGCTTCCTTTGCGCCGTCCAGTCCAGCAACATCGTCCCATTTGACATTCGGTCGGTCTTGTAGAATAGCACCAGCGAGTGCATTCCGTAGCTTCTTATTATCCTCGTCGACGCCCTCTTCGCCGTTCTGCTTCCCCTTGCCCGTACCGCCTGTCGACGAGCCGTTGGCACCGACCAGACCAGGCTTCTTACGCTTCGCATCGGCATCGGCGAGGTGAGCTTTCAACTTCTCGGCGCGGTCCATGTATTCGCCCGTCTTCTGGCGGATCATCTCCTTGGACTTGGGGTTCTTCTCCCATTTTAAGGCCAGCATAAATAACTCGAGGGACTGGTAGTAGAGTTGGTAGGCCTTTTCGTATTCGGCTTCCTTGTCGGCGGTCACAGCGCGATGCACCGTGTCGATCGCTCGACTGAGAAAATCGGTGTTGGACATTCTCGAGCCCGTGGTGTTTATAACCGATGCGAATTGAGGTATATGGCAGGTGGAGAGGAAGAGGAAGCAAATGTGTCGAGCTGATGGAGATGTTGTAGTGCAAGTTATTTCGTTGTCGAGTCTTAAACTTCGGCGCTGGACTGAACTGGGCTGGAATTGTAACTACGAACTTACGAATTACGATACAATCAAGAAGGTCCGCTTGCTCTCGTCTAACAAAAGACCGGCGGTAGGAGGTACTTTTGGGCAGCAAGTAAGATGTGTGGAGTAAGAGGTACTCAATACAAGTCGCCCCTTCAATGATAGCAATAGGCAAGGTTTAGATAATATCTTATCTTAGAGGGGTTATATTAGTACATGTACCTATCGATTGGTTGGCATGACTACCACTTAAGCCACAACCCTACACAGCCACAGGTAGCATCAAACTCCATAGGTTGAGTCCGCCAGTGTCGGTCTTTACAAGAGCTAAGAGGTCCAAGTCACGCTCGATTCACCAAATTTATAAATCTATAGTTTTGAATCCGTGCATATCGCTGAAGCAAAAGGTATCTTTACCAATTGAAGCTTGACATCAGCATACAACATTTTAATACCGACACTCAGGATTGCGGCAGCACAGTAAAACCTCTGGCAGCAGGCGCTAAGATAGACCATGGCGGAAGTTCAAGCACGTCTTCAGAGTCTCTCCGAAGAATTCACCAAGCTACAGCAGGAGTTACAAACCGCCGTACAGTCGCAACAAAAGCTCGAGGCTCAGAAGCAAGAGAACACAAACGTGCAAAAAGTCAGTTTAGGGCCATATTATATCACGCATGGCTCGTGACCAAAGGACTTATAGGAGATAGGAATTTGAACGTCTTAAGAATGGCGAGAACATCTACAAACTAGTTGGCCCAGTATTATTGAAGCAAGATAAAATCGAGGCCGAGAGCACAGTCAACGGACGCTTGGAATTTATTAGCAAGGAGCTGTAAGTTTTTTTTTTTTTCAATTGTCTTATCCATAGCTTTTCATGAGCTAAGATTACCTCTATAGTGAGAGGACAGAAGACCAGATCAGGGAGTTACAAGAGAAAATCGAGAAGAAAAAAGGGGAGATCATCCAAGCCCAAGCAGGATTACAAGCGGGAGGTGGCGCACCAGGGAAAGTAGCAGCAAAGGGCTAAGAAATCATGAAAGAATTCTAGTTCGCAAGAGAGTCAAAGAGGTAAGATTCTCATAAGGAGTGAAATGAATGAAAATTAAATAAGAGGGTTAAGAGGCCATTACGTTCAACTCTGGACGTGTTCGGATATATTATCGATTGAAAATTCCTCTGAGCAACATACAAGGTTGACCTTTAAATGTACCACATGAATTATCGAGCCACAGGGAAAAGCTATGAATTCAAAGTAGCTGCCTATGTACTTTACAATAGGTTAACACACAGCTGGTTAACACATGACGTAACAGGCGTGCCTTTTGTGCACTGCGTAATACCTAGGTACGTAAAAGAGGAAATATAATTGCGACTTATCTCCAGATTGCCCCGCCATTCCGATACGACCCCGCCCTACACACTCTTTTGCCGTGCCTGCCGTACAACCTTGATACCTAAAACTAATTCTAGCGCTTAGTAGCGGGAAGGGTCACAAGGGTTTACAAGCCGCGTCTCCCTTCAACATCAACATCCTTTTCCCCTGTCGCAAATCAACACGCAAGCTTGATACTAAGCAGCCGGAAAGAAGAGCTCCTCTCATATACTACGTCGAGACATAATAAATACTTACCCACTAAATCGAATGAAGCTCTATTCGCCATATTACTTACTCCCTGGAGTATAGCCTGCTGCGCAGCAGTGTAGATGATGCGAAGATGGCCCCAACTAATCCCACGTTCCCATCTGCCAACCGCCCGCTAGCTATTAAGGAGATAGTTGGAGAGGCAGAGGGCTTCAAATGGGATCCTGCTATACCGTTGAAGTTTTGGTTGCGCACTGCCAACACACTATTCCTAGAGGTAAATAGCATCATGTATGGCCTATCTCGTTCGATACAGTACTAACTTTTGATCTTTCTTAGGGTAGAAGCTATCTGAGTGATGGCAATTTCGCTCAAGCCTACCTCATCTATATGCGATATTTAGATCTCGTTACGAAGAGACTGCCTAAACATCCCGGCGCTAGAGCTCCCGAGGAGAAAAGGGCTCTTAACGAATTATACAAGTCCCTTGGGGATGTCATGTCCAATCTCGAGAGGATTAAACCAATTATCGAACAGGATTATAATGCGTGGCAGACCCAGTCAAAGAAACAGGGCCGCCAAAAACAGGAGGCTAGTCATCTCAAGTCTAAGTCGCCATTGACCTACGAAGAGCGCGCATCCCGAGACCCTGCCTTATCTTCCACACATCGATTGCTCAATGCCGGTGACTATCAGGATCTCGCAGTTGAGCTGGCCGAGAGGGAGTTTCGCCGTAGGGATACAAATAGGGGCGCGACCAGAAAGGCCGGCGTATCGCATGAGGAAGATACACGCGGTGCGGGCTTCTGGAACAACTGGACGACCGAGCTAGCTGATAAACAAGCTGAAGATGAAGAGCTTTTCCGAAGGCAGATGGAGTCAATGAGAAAGACATTAGATGGGGATGAGAGTGGCTACACGAACAACATTCCACGAAAACATTCGCGCCCTTCATCAATAGCGAGTCCTTCAACAAGCTATCGATACCCATCTATCTCCCCATCTCAGCCTATTCAATACGAGGCCGAGCACGCCCATGCCAGAAAACCGTCAACTCCTCAACCTCTCCGACCACCCAAAGAAGAGATCTTTCGCCGGCCTGAAACTAGTCCGAGCCATACTCCTGCACCAGAGCCCCCTGTTAAGGTACATGCATCCCCCGAAAGGACGCTCCCAACTCCCGAGACATCTCAAGAGCTCCCTACCCTCCCACCTAAGATACGCGAAGAGTCTCCTGTGCCCCAGAAGGAACAGCAACGCCTTACATTTAAACCGGCGGCTTACCTCGAGAGCGGTGAACCACTCCGTTCCGTCTTCTTACCTAGTCAATTACGCAACCGGTTCCTATCCATCGCTGCGGAAAACACTCGGCGTGGCCTTGAGATGTGCGGTATCCTCTGCGGAACTGCCGTTAAGAACGCCTTGTTCGTGCGTTGTCTATTGATCCCTGAGCAAACCAGCACCTCGGACACGTGCGAGACGGAAAATGAGAACACCATGCTAGAGTACTGTATGGATAATGACCTAATAATATTAGGTTGGATTCACACGCACCCAACCCAAACCTGCTTTATGAGTTCTAGGGACCTGCATACCCAGTCTGGCTATCAGATCATGATGCCGGAGAGCATAGCTATCGTCTGTGCTCCGAGATTTGAGCCTTCGTAAGTTCTCCTCTTTCACTATTCATATCTCTTTAATTTATCCGTGGCATATGTGATTGCTAACATGTTATTTATAGTTATGGCATATTCCGCCTCACCAAGCCTCCTGGTTTAGACTACATCCTTGGTTGCACACAGACCAGCACTTTCCACCCACATGCTATGGATAACCTCTATACGAAGGCGCAGTCCCCACCGGGTCACGTTTACGAGACTGATAAGCTGGAGTTCGACGTGCATGATCTCCGACCGGGCGCCCGCAACAGCACCGTGCAGCACAAGAACTTTTAGGACATGATGTCTAATGGGATGGGTTGCGGCGTGCACGCATGCGCTCTGCTCGTATGTGCCCTCTGCCCGTGGGGAGCGAACCGGTGCCCGGATCGGCTGGAATCCAATCACACCCGCAGTAGGGTTAAAGAGGATTGATTGGCGTGGTCTTTTTTTCTGTTTGATAATATCTGGATTGTTGCCACCTGATTAGCGCAGCATGGGACGGGTTCAGTACTGCATAGCATAGGCGTTGCGGAGACTTTTTAGTTTTAGTTTTTATTCTATTGTCTCTTTTCTCGCGGTACCTCTAGGTTAGACCCATCGAACCAGGACTCGAGCTTCACGGGTTCATTTCAAGCATGTACTGTATAAAGGTTAGATAGAAAGACGAGACGAGACGAAACGGGACAGGAGAAGTAAAGTAATGAGACTGCGGTTTGTTCGAGCACGATTGATTTGTGTGTATAAAATAAAAACTAAACTACTGTTTCCCCCTTTCTCCCGGACACCTCCCTCCCTCGCATAATCCAGCTAAACTCGGAAATGACTATTCTTTGCAGAATTTGGAGTTTTTGTTTCGGCCGTGTTGGTTCGGCGGACGCGTGCAACTCCTCTAGATAGATAGATACCTGATTTGGGTAAGTGGTATGAAATCAAAACAAGACCGTTGTAACTCTCACTCTCTCACTCTCCCACTCTCTGGATGATGATGACGTTGTGGTGATTGTGGTTTGTGCCGTATTTCCCTGTGCCCTAGTATTCTTACAGATGAATGGTAGATATGGATGAATGGGATGAAACGACAGTAAATGGTAATAACGCCAGCCCAGCCAAAAAATGTTTGATGGTTTATTTGTTTGTTTGTAAGTCCCCGCGCTGTGCCTCAATCTTGGAGGACGTGGTATTTGATGTGTTTGTGTTTGTGTTTGTGTTTGTGTCCGTGATATATATAATTTCCATATATGCATGCATAACTATCCGAAAGTTGCCCGTGTCGTTTCGTTGTTTCGTTTCGTTTCTTCCCTGCCTGCGGGCCTTTGCGTGCCTTCGTATCCGTGTCGTGTGTGTGTGTGGTCTCGTATCATCAAATCAAGTTCCCGTTAGTAGTTAACTAACATGCGTCGTAGGTATAGTGCCGATACCCCTCGTTCGAGAAGGGATCATCTAGTCATACGACGCGCTGCTGTCGCGGCCGAGACCAGCTCTTGCGCCAGACTGGGATGCCGATGACGCTGTGCCAGCGCTTGGTCGACACGTTGGGGTTGGTAGAGCTGGGGATGTTGGTCTTGGACGCGTTCTTGGAACCGTCCTTGAGAACTGATTTGTCGAAGCTGGCGCGCGTGGAGCTACTTGCTTTGTTTGACGTCTCGGGTGCGGGAGCGGCCTTCGCGGGTTCGGTTGTCGTGGCCTCAGTTGTTGCGGGCTCAGCGGCTTCGGCTGGTGCTTCGGCACCGTTGGTTTCTGGGGCCTTATCGGTTGCATCGAGCTCGCTAGCTCCGTCGGTCTTGTTCGCTTCGGCTTCATTTGATGCTTCGGCCTCGGTTGCTGTCTCGGGAGCCTCGATGGCCTCGGGTTCAACTAACTCGGGTTCTTCCACTATGACCACAGGAGGGTCTTCTGGCTTAAGTTCCAGAGTCTGGGTGCGCTGCTTCAGGCTCTCCACCTCTAGGAGTGTGTTTTGCCATTCCTCGATAGTTTCGCCTTCTAATTGCTTGAAGACCCTGTACGTTAATGTGTTAGTTAAGTGTAGCGAAACTGAATCATTTATGAATGAAATGCTTACTTCTTCATGGTGGCGTATAAGGAAAGGTCAGCAAGAAGGGCCAAGTTTTGCTTCTCGAGCCAAGCTGTGAGTCCCTTCTTCCACACATCGATCTCGGGGTTGAAAGAAGCGCTGAGGAATTCAGCAGCGGCAGTAGTCTGCTCCGTAGCAATTAAGTTACGGAGAGCCTCGGAGACAAAGCTTCCTAGCTTGGCCTCTTGGATCTGGCTTCGAGCGTGGGGATCTTCGATCGCATTGGCGATCTGATCCTCGACGAAAACATCGGTAGAGTTGCTGAGTGCAGCCCCGAGGACTGTTCCGATAATTGGGCTTTCACAGGCGCGTCCGATGAAGGCGCCGATGGCAACACCAATTGTGAAGGCTGCTGAATTTGTGCTGGTTGCGATTTCGTAATAGCACTGGTTCTGAATATTCAACACGGGTTAACAACTTATCTAAATGAATAGGGATTATGTGAATCGACTAACCTCAGTTCGGCTCTCATCGTGAGAACGATGTAAAGCGGCGACGGCGGGTCCGAAGACTGGGACTTGTTCAGCGACAGCGCTCGTCCAGTGTTCCCTCTCGATAGAGTCGGCACTGGAAAGAAATGGTAAGCTACCTATACTAGATTTGAACTCACAACACAGGCTTAAATACGTGGAGGGAAGCGGAGCCAGGACGAGACGTGCAAAGGCCTGTAAGACATAGTGACAAACATACTGCTTGGAAAAGCTTAGGCGTCCCTTCCGGTTCACGACGCAGGCGCTGAGGTCTACCTCGGCCGGGTGATGGACACCTTCGTAGTCCTGGAGTTCGCCAGTGAGCCTGAGGC